ATAATTTTCGTCGATGATACTCGCCTCATAATCTGCATAATCGTACCTTGTTCCTTTAGAGTCGTAATATGTTCCAAAACGTTGTTTTCAATTTGGTTTGACAATTCCTTTCCCGGGCGTCCTTCACAGTTTACAATTAAGGAATCTGTGTGTATATAGCTTCCAGATGTTAAATGGAAAAGGTCTTGAATTTCCTTGTTGATAGATTTAAAAAGAACCTGTCGCATGCTGAGCTTACAGTACTTTAACACGTCCGAGGGCAATTGGAATCCCAATCCAAATTTGCTAACAGATAACTTTAGGTGGGTTAGATTGGCGCCTTGGTGGAAATGCGACCATCGTTTTACATAATGGATTACTTTACCATCTAGGCTTTTTGTAGCCCAGGATTCAGATAAATGATATACTGATAACCGCCACCTTAGCTTATTGTACACAAATTTGTTGATAATCAGCAGTTTATTCTTTGGGTGGAGCGGAAGTTTGTCTACTTTATCCAAGTAACTGGTCAGCTCTTCTTCCAGCTCATTTCGGATTTCGTCAGTTGTCATTGTATAACTGAACATTTTACCCAAATACCTGAACGATCCATCGATTTCGACTGGTGGAATCATCTCGTTGTTAACCTTCAAGTACGGTTTATATTCAGTCGACCTTCTTCCATTGTGTTTGATACCAAACGTTTTGCACTTATCCGTCCTAATTTGTAACCCTGACCAGTCGCACCATTTTGAAAAAGCATTCAACATCATTTGATTTTCTTCCTCTGTCGCTGTAACAAGAGCCTTATCGTTCGCAAATTGGAACCAATATCTGGGTTTCAAAGTGCTACAGTAATGATATCCTAGTGCCCGAGTACGATCATCCTCTATACACTTAATAAGAGAATTGATGCACATGTTAAAAAGCAGTGGCGAAAGACAGTCCCCTTGCATCACTCCTTTACCAACTTTCATAGGACTTGTTACAAACTCTTTAGTTCCTATCGATACTGTATAGTCTTCGTATATATTTCGGATCAAACCTGATATTTCACTAGGAATATGGTAGTACTTGAGGATAGTTTGCAATAGATTGTGGTGTACTTCCCCGAAGGCATTTTTCAGATCAAGTAAGGTAATAACCAGATGTCGCTGATTTTTTCTGGCATGGTTGATAATGTGAGTTAGTAGTTCGTTATGCTCAATTGTGCCCGAAATTCCCTTGCAAAAGCCTTTCTGTATATTCGTTTCTATATACTCGTTCTGTACCAAATACGAATATATTCGGTTTCGTATTATAGATGTAAAAACCTTTGCAAAGACTGGTTGTAAGGTTATTGGGTGAAAATTAGATGGAAGCTTTGCATTATCCTTCTTATGGATGAGTATTGTAAAGGCTTGTTTCCAGGACTTAGATAGCAATCCCCTGTCCCAGCAATGTGACGTAATTCGGTAAATAATAATAATAATAATAATAATAATAATAATAATGAAAACTTTATTAATAGAACATTTATAGATATATACAATTGTAAATCTCACTTCTTGAGGTAACCTACAATTGACTACTTGAATCACTTATACGTGGTTATAGTTTTATATACAAAAATTGTTAATTATTTATAGAAATAGTTACTTTAAATGTTCATTAGTTCGGGATTTGTCCATTCTTTATTTCTACAGCAAAATATGTAGTACGTTGATCGGATGGCAATAGATATCATTTTTCTGATATAATATTGCTGGTGTTGATTATCCAGTCCTAACTCATTTAGCATTTTTACGAATGTATGGCATTCTTTGTCAAACACCCCTAGCGAACTGACTGAAAGATTTATAAATTTAACAGATGTAAAGTTTTGATCTAGTTCTCTAATTAGGTTCTTATATTTAGCTTTCTTGCGGTTAACATTGTTTGTGAGGTTTGATTCAAAGCCTACGGTAAGTTCAACAACGTAGAGGTGTTTGTCTGAAGTGGAGACAAATAAATCAGGACGATATTCATCGCCCGTAATAATCGAGGGGCTTTCAAATCCAGGAAGATCAACAAGTAATTTGCATTCGTTTAAACTTTGAAAGGTTTTTGCAAGAAACTTTAGTATGCAATCGTGTCTCCAAGTAAATCGTTCCAAGTAATGTTGACAACCGGCAACAACGTGTAGAAGTGATTCAGGGTGTAAGCAGAACGAGCAGTCAGAACTTGATGAAATTCCCCATCTACTGAGGTTCTTTCGGGTAGGAAGGGTATTATTTATATAGCGAATTGTAAAGTTGAGAAACTGTTCTTTGGTAGCTTTGATTGCGATACCGACCAGATTGCGTTGAGTTGTGATATGCCAGCTTCCAATTGCTACACAGCATGATCTCAGGGCTTTTCCTCTGAAACAATGCTTGGTTGCGATATCATCCAGCAAGTGCAAAAATGCACTACCACGGTCAAGGATCATTTGGCATGTTCATCAACTATGTTATATAAACCCATTGAGTGGCAGCATGCACTCTCCCCTTGACGAGTAAAATTGTCTGGCGTTAGACAGAGTGAACTAACAAAGTAGGGCGCATCTGAGTGCATTGCCACTTAAAGGGTTAAAAACGTAAATACCACAGCACAACACTTGTACATATACATATACAACAGCAATCCTCTTATATATTTAATAGTCATATTTACATATTGGTGAAATATCAATGTCATTATGTCCATATATTAGGGATGTCCATGAACTTGTCCCTAGTTTGAAGCTGAAGTATTCATATCTTTTGTATCAGTTGTCCCTCTACAAACCAACTTTTAGTCATTATACAAGAGTTGAACTATTTGCATTCATTTGCTTCGCAAGTCGCCACAAACTGAATAAAGTATAGCCTGCAAACAGGCTCTCTTTGAACTCTCTTTGAAATTTGAGAGAGAGCCTGCAGGCCTAGCTAATAAAAACGCGTCTGTGCGTTGCTTAGAACGACGCAGGGTTCCCATTGGTTGAAATTGAATTAACTACATTATACTGCCATAAAAGGTAATTAAATTTACACAACAATAGATTCAAATCGAAAATATAGTTCTATAGCGACGAGGTGTATACAGGGTGTATCAAAAAAAAGGAGACCTTTAGAAATCAAGCATATTGTTAAAATTTGAATGCCATTTCAATTGCACATATGCTGAACTGTGGTGCGTGAAATATTGATGGAGTGCATATATTAGGCAGCGTTTACACTGTACCGTTTTCGTAGCGTTCTCGTATTGTTCTTAATCCTCAAGGGAACGCAAGACAATAGTCTAGTTCTCTCGAACAATACGAGAACGCTACGAAAACGGTACAGTGTAAACGCTGCCTTAGAAAAAGGAGACCTTTAGAAATCAACCATTGTTATAATTTGAATCCTGGAGCACTTTGCTAAGCACATAGCAGATTGATCCTAGGAGCAGACAATCTTTTGTTTAAACGTTATTTCAAATTCTAAAGGTCTCCTTTTTCTAATATATGCATCCATCAATATTTCACGCACTACGGTTCAGCATATGTCTCCTTTTTTTTGATACACCCTGTAGAAAACTAAATCTTTGTTTAAAGTTAAAGGATGGACAGTCAAAAGCTCTTAACAATATTCTAGACGGAAACGATGTTTTAGCTGTACTGTATAAGAGAGTTTGGCAAATACAACGGCAACGTTCTGCAA